CTGTTCTCCTCCCTGCCCGCCTTCTCTCGCCCTGTTTCCCTCGCATCTCTCCATGTCTTCCCCAAAACTCCACGACAGATGGCGCTCTCGCTCTGGCTGAATTCATAGTATCCTGAGTTGTACGAAGGGGGCGCTGCATGCAGTTTTGTCTTTCCCCTGCTCACTTCCTTACTCCCCTCTCGCGCATAGTATCGCCCACGACCAGTCGAGCATGGAAAAACTTTTGCAGGTAAATGGCCGTATTTCGGCTCAAACTTTTTCACTCCCCGAGGCACAAAATGTGAATTTACGCCTATAATACACGCGCACGCGTGCGTGCGACCATACCCGCGTGTGCGCGCCCGGTCGCGTGTATGTATGTGTATGTATGTGACTGCAAAAACGCGTATTATAGCCGTGAATCCACTTTTTGTGCAATGGGGAGGGGGTGAAAAAGTTCAGGTGGAAACACAGCTATTTGACTTGTGAAAATTTGTCATGCTCGACTGGTCGTGGGCGATATTATTTGAAGGAGGGTGGGAGGAGAAGACTGAGGGGAAGGGAGAGAGAGGGAGGCAGAAGATAAGAGGAGAGAAAAGAGGGAGGGGCGGAGGGAGGGAGGAATGAAGAGGGCGATGTGCATGCGTACGAGCAATCACGCGCGCATTCAAATACACGTTTGAAAAAACTCCTCATAAAATCTTTTTCTCTCTCTCGCCTTCTCTTTTCTCATTCCTGACTTTGCGTAAACAAGTGGACAGTAGCAGTGAGACATCCCGCTCAGAAATAAATATATATATTCATATATATTTATATTTAGTTATTTAGTTATTTATATAGTTTATGAATAAAATAAATTTTGTTTATGTCGAAGACCGCCGGGCAGGTAAACCTTTGCTATAATTTATGTTTGAATATGTGCATGTTCGCTCGCTTCGTGAATGTCTTTGAGCGTTTGTGTGTTCGTGCGCACGTGTTCGCATGGAAGGTTCTCGCCTGGGAGGTTCTCTTGCTCTGTTATCGTTGTTCGCAGGAACATTCTGATCCAAGTGAAGGACGGAGCAACGACGGCTGTCTACAAGGTTCCGTCCAGCCTGTGACCGTCAGGGGGCGCCACGCGACGGATGCCACGCCAGGGGGCGCTACGACGTGAACGTTTGTTCGTCGGAGGCGGACGATCGACCGTCGTCGTTGTTCCTTGGAGTTCACGAACGATGAATGACAATGAAGAATGTTCACCATCGTCGTCGTCGTCGTCTGTTAACGTTGTCATTGTCAATTGTCATTGTGTGTTGTCATTGTCTGTTGTCATTGACTGTTGTCATTGTGTGTTGTCATTGTCTGTTGTCATTGTGTGTTGTCATTGTCTGTTGTCATTGTGTGTTGTCATTGTCTGTTGTCATTGTGTGTTGTCATTGACTCTTGTCATTGTGTGTTGTCATTGACTGTTGTCATTGACTGTTGTCATTGTGTGTTGTCATTGTGTGTTGTCATTGTGTGTTGTCATTGTCAATTGTAATTGTGTGTTGTCATTGTTAAGAGGGAGATGCGTACACGCACTCACGCACTCTCTCGCAATTTTTCTCTTTCTCGGGCTATATAGATGTAGATATATAGGGGGCCTATACTCTTCTCTCTCCGTTTCTCCCTCTTCCTCACTTCCTTACTCCACTCTATCGGATGATATTGCTTACGGCAACGATAGCACGGTGAACCTTAACCAGGCAAATGGCCGTATTTGAGCTAAAACATTTTTAACCCCCTCCCAGAGCACCCTACATAACTGCAATAAAACCAAAGAACCAACAGAGCTTTATTTTACCACCGACTTGTTTTTTTCCTTTCTTTGTAAGTGTATACATACAAGCACTCAGACACATAATTGTATCTGCCGCGGAGTGATGCCGGCGACATCTGGTGGTGACTACGTGAACTGCGAAGCCAGTCTTCTAACATAAGCAACTCGCGTACATCGGCTGATACGTACCAGCTGGAACCTTCTCTCGCTGACGAACGGGACCAGGTGGCGCCACCGCGACGCTCGCGGCTATCGCGACTCGAGAGGACGCGTTTACCATTTCGAGATCCGTATGTCTCTCTGGATAAATATATACATTGCTCTTTCTCTCTTCTCCTTCCTGCCCGCCCTCTCTTGCCCTGTTCCCCTCGCATCTCTCCGTTTCTTTCCCTTGCTCACTTCCTTACTCCCCCCCTCGCGCACGCGTGCGTGTAACCATACCCGCGTGTGCGCGTCCATGAGTGGGCGTGTATGTGTGATTGTGTGGCTGTAAAAACGCGTATTATATCCGTATAATTATATTTTGTGGTTTTGGGGGGGGGGTGAAAAAGTTGAGGCTGAAAACCAGCCAATTGCCTGTGCTAACTTTTCACCGTGCACACATGCCGTGGGCGATACTATCCGCGAGAGGGGGAGGGGAATACTGAGGGAAAGGAGTGAGAGTAAGAGCAGAGAACGGAAAGGAGTGCGCGTCCGTTCGCGTGTACGTATGTATGTGTTATTTTATATGACTGTAAAAACGCGTATTATAGCCGTATATCCACATTTTGTGCTTTGGGGAGGGTGAAAAAGTTTTGGCTGAAAATTAATATTTAGTTCCTATATGAACCTAAAGATGGCGCTTCGACTACTTTATAAAATGGCGTGACGTTTGTTATGTTTCAGTGAATTTAAAACATTAAAACAAATAATTAAACCAATTTCTTGCTGTATGATACTCGCTATGAAAAGTGGGGAGACATAAGACATTCCATAGTTACGAGGTAAGCTTTCTCCAATGATAAAGTTTGGTCACTGAGCAACCACTCGTCGGTTCAAGCAGCCGCAGGGACTCGCAGCTAGGGCGGTTCAAGGATAGAGATGATGTCCAGGACGGTGATAGGATAGGATGATGTTTATTACTGGACATGCTCTCTATCATTGACTAGAACTTCCAAACTGGGTTTATTCTTAACACGAACCTTTCTCCGCTATCCTGGAACTTACTATGTATCACAATACTCTGTATTAAACTAATAATAGTAATATAACCTGTTACAAAAATTCGAAGTGACGAGCGGCGATTCTTTCTTCTGTTGACCCAAACTCCACGACAGATGGCGCTCTCGCTCATAGGCTCAATCTACCAGGGAGTGTCTATATTCAGGCCGGTACGGGAGATTACGGTACGCATATATTTGCTAATATATTGACTAATCGTGCGTCAATAAACTCAATATTCACAGAGAGTATAGCTAAGACATGTGTCTATAGGTATCTAGAATTTTAGAAATTTAATCATCTGTAATTCATAGTAGTCTGATATCGTTCGAACCTGTAAGCAGCATCTGCCCAATAGATGATCGACCAATAGCGCGTCTTTGTTAGCGAAATTGTTACGAAAAAACACTGTAGATGGCGCTGGCATGCCAGAAATAAACTGCGTGGCAAACAGGCGACTCGCACGTTCTAAATGTCATCTTTTATTGGGAAATGTCTTTCGTCTTGGTCCGTAACATTAAATATACATGTACACCTGATTATTATTGCTACGTGGGCGCCGCCGCCGCCGCCGCGGGGCCGACTCCCGAAAAATACACGAGACGCGCGTCGCGCCAGCAGGGGGCGCCCCTGCGGCCGCGATCGGTGGGAGGCCGGCGATGCGCCCTCTGCTTTCCGCGGATCACCCGAGATTCGGCGCGGAGCTTTCCCCGACGCTGGCGCCCCCTCTCGGCATTTCTTTCGCCGCTGCCGCCGCCGCCCGAGGGGCGCATTAACACGTTATACAAACATGATAAAATTCGCTTTTATTTTTCGTGCGCGGAGGAGAGAGTAAAATATACGGCATACGCGATACGCGTGTGCGTCGCCACGGCGACGACGATATTTACAGAAGACAATGCGGTCGGCGCTCGCTCGAACGGCGCCCCCTGCTGCTGCCGGGGAGACGCGCACGCTCGCCGCGCGGGGGAGCCACCGGCCGGATGGCACGAAATACGGTTTTGCAACAGTAGAGGCTCTACTCCGACGTCGGCATGGCAACGCAACGAAGAGCGACATCTCGCCAGGAACGCTCGCGCTCGCGCTGCCCCCCCTAGTGGCAAACACGCAGACTACTGCTTCCGGTTCAATATCCCACGCCTGGCGGCACGAGAGCGCGCGAGCGTTCCGTCGAGAAGCGCAACGTTCGCTCGATCCGGCGACAGATCGACGAAGCGTCGACGTCGGAAGAAAAAAAAACACAACGACACTTGTGTACAAAAATCGACCGTAACTCCACGCAGTTAACCGTGGTTACACGAGAGAAAAACGCGCGACGCCCCTGTCTACTACGCCACACGCCTCTGTCAACTTACACACCACACGCCGGCCTGTCACTACACCACACGCCCTGTCACTAACACCACACGCCGCCTATCACTACACCACACCCCGCCTGTCACAGCACCCACAGCGCCCTGTTTCACTACCCCACACGCCCTGTTCACTACGGCCACACCGCCCCTGTGACCTAACACGCCAACACGCCCCTGTCAACTAGCACCCACACGCCCCTGTGCACTACAGCGACACGCCCCTGTCCTACACCACCGCCCCTGCACTAACACCAACACGCCGCTGTGCACTAACACGCACACGCCCCTGTCAACTACAACCACACCCTGTCATCTACACACACCGCTGACATCTTCATGGGTCGTTCCTGGTCGTCTTGGCAGGAGAGTAACGGCCTTCAGCACCCCCGGATTACAGCGCATCGTGGGGGAATACGTAACCCCACACCGAGGTACGCCCATAGACGACGCACGTAGAGGACGAAGAATGAGAAGGAGGAGGAGGAGGAGGAGAGGAAGAGGAGGAGAGATCCCGCGGAGAGAGGCCAGGACGGCGGGGGCGGGCTATCCCTGGAGGAGGCGGCGGCGCTCGGCGAAGCGTCGTAGTCGCCCGGAAAGCTGCGTCGCCGCGGCGACAACGACGAGCGCGAGAGGAGATGTGCGCGCTGTGCCGAGACGACGCCCCGTGAACTTTGAACTTTGAACTTTGAATGAACGCAGTGACCATTTTGTTCGGGATGTTGTGTAGGATGCGATCCCACACCTTTGTTTTCGTTTTGCGGGCTGAGCTTTTCGTAGGAAGGAGGAGAAACCGTAAGGGATGCGATAAGGAGCTTGTAAGAGAAGAGGATGCAACCGTAAGGGATGCAGCAAGGAGGCTCCGTAAGGGATGTGTATGATGAGCTCCGTAAGGGATGCAAGTAAGGAGGCTCCGTCAAGGGAATGCAGAGAAGAACACCATAAGAGGGATGCAGTCAAGGAGCACCGTAACGGATGCAGAGCTCTGTAAAGGAATGATGAGCTCCGTAAGGGGCAGTAGGCGAGCACGCAATATAATAAGGACAGTTAATGGCTTCCATTAATGGACAATGCAATGACAACGTTAGAGAGCGGGGCAAGAGCCCCTAAGGGAGAAGGTGGTCGGCCGGCAGAAAAGGGGACGAAAGGACTCGGTAGCGTGATGCGACATAATATGTGGCCGACTCCGTTTGAATTTGGAATTTCCCGTAATAGAAGTGCCGGCAAAATAATGATGGCGAGCTCCCGTAAGGGGGGCAACGGACGCTGAGTAACGAAAGAAAATACGGAGCTCTGTAACGTGGGCAAGCGGGCAGCTGAGTAGGCAGCCATTTAGAGCCTCGCGTAAGGGGGCAAACAGGAGCTACGTAAGCAGCCATTACGGGCTCCGTAGTGGGGCAACGGGAGCTACGTAAGCAGCCATTACGGGCTCCGGTAGGGGGCAACGGAGGCTACGTAAGCAGCCATTAGGAGCTCCGTAAGGGGCAACGGGAAGCTACGTAAGCAGCCATTAGGAGGCTCCGTAAGGGGCAGCGGGAGCTACGGCAAGGGAGGCGGAGCTGGCGAGGCGGAGGCGATGCAACGTCGTAGCCCAGCGCGCGTGTGCTTTCGCCCCGGCTCCGAGACTCCCCGCCCTCGCCTCCCCCACTGCGTCTCGCTATGTAACCTTCAAAGGTCAGAATCTTCCCTCGCGGACTGTGATAGTGATCACTAGAGCGGGGCGAACCGTCGTGGCGTGCGTAACGGCTTCGCGCACTGAAACCCAACCCTGTGTGTTAGAAAAGAGGGTATCCCTCGACATCGTGTCGTAGGTCTAGTTAGAATGTTCGTGTCATCTTGTGTCTCTCTCAGAGCATAGCTGCCATCATGTGTGGGAGGCCATGTGCATATATATATATATATATAATATGTATGAATGATGATGATGATGATGAATTGTTGATGATAATGATCGAATGATGGTGATGGCTGTTATCATATGTGACATGGCGTGCGTGTCGCGGCGCGCATCGCGGTGAGTTTTGTGAAGTTGTGTGCGCGCATATGTGTCTGAGTGCATCCTGGTGTGGCGTGCGTTGCGTGCGTGTGTGCGTGCGTCGTGTGTGCGTGCAATGCTTATTGTGCGTGTGGATATGTATGCATCAACGCCTGTGTGTGGTGTAAATTGTGCGGGTGCGTGCGCGTGCGTCGTGCGTGTGTGTGTGCCTGGAATCGAGAAAATCTGCCAGCTCGCATCTTTCTCGTGGCTGGCACCCTGTGCCATGGTTTGCTGGAGTCTGCACGCTATATCCTGCATCATTGTACGTTTCAGCCTGAACCCCACGGCCGATGCGTACCTCTCTGGTAGAGCGACGAAGACCCAGGTCCACCGCTCCTCCTCCTCCTCCTCCTCCTCCACTCCACTCCTCCTCCACTCCTCCTCTCTCGCTCCTCTACTCCGCTCCTCCTCCACCCTCCCTTTACTCCTTCCTCCTTCTCCCAACTTCCTCCTCCTCTCCTCCAACTCCTCCTCCTCCACTCTTCATGTCTCCTCATCACTCCTCCTTCCACTCCTCCTCCTCCTTCTCCTCCTCCTGTAAGACAAGACAATCCTCCACTGTCCCTGAGTCCTCCTCCCTGCTGCAGCGGCCACCCGGCACCTCCTCTCTCCTCCTCTCCCTTCGGCCGACCGACACCTCCTCCTTCTCTTTCCTTCCCCTCTTCTCATTGGGCATATGCTGGCAGATGGTATCAATCAAGAATGAACATAAAGCAGTGATTGTGTTCATAGCATGACCATAGCGAGAGACATGGAGGAAAGATGAAAAGAGATAAGAGGGGAGTACGAGAAGAGAGAGAGGAGACGAGAGAGAGAGAGTGAGAGTGTAGATAGAGAGAGAAAGAAAGAGAGAGGAAGAGAGTGAGGGAGAGGGGAGAGAGGGAGGAGAGAGAGAAGATGGAGTAGGGAGAGAGAGAGAGAGAGAGAGACGAGAGATGAGAAAGAGAGAAGAGAGAGAGAGGTGAGATAGGGAGAAGAGAGAGAAAAGAGAGAGAGTGGGAGAGAGAAGAAAGAGAGATGAGAGAGAGAGTGGGTGTTGTGAGAGAGAGAGAGAGAAGTGAGAGTAGAGAAAGAGAGAAAGAGAGAAGAGAGAGAGAGAGAGCGAGAGAGAGAGAGAGAGAGAGTGAGATAGAGAGAGAGAGAGAAAAGAGAGAAGAAGAGAAGAGAGAGAGAGAGAGAGAGAGAGAGAGAGAGAGAGAGAGAGAGAGAGAGAGTGCAAGTATTAATATATTCCAGGCTCCTCCTTCGATTTTCGGCGTCGTCCGTGTCGCTGCTTGTGACATCGCGGTCAGTCGACCTCCGCCTTTAACCCTTATATTATGACGTGTAGAAGGGAGAAGAGATGAAGGGAGGAGGAGGAATAGAAGGAGAGTGGGAGGAAGGAGGAGGAGAG